TGTCCTCCCTTCCATTAGAGTTACTGGATTGATTTTAAATGGTCAGTGTAAGATCATTTCCCCAAATTTTCTTGTGGAAAAAACATAGTTCCGTTACAACACAAGGTTCTAAGCTTTTTATTTCCAATGTACCAAAGTTCCTACCTCTAATTTTGTTGACATGAAAGATACATATAGATTATAAATGTGCACAGTTAAAAAATGTATACAGTCTTAGTATTGCTGTCCAACTGGATCAATTGTTCTGAGGATTTAATGCTCAATGCACGCATGGTTTTAAATAGATATAGCAAAGACTTTTAGTCACGCCCAGGATTGAGACCCAGCATGAGGTTTTGAAATGGGAGGGTTTTTAAAGGTATGTAACTCCTTGATAAGGAGCCATACAATAACATTTAAGTCATCTTCACCAAAATGACTTACTCCACTAACTCTGGACTACAATTTTTGGACTACATCATTATTGACAATGTCTATGGTGGTTAGGAATTGTAATCTAAAATATCTGCAGGACCCGAATTTCCAGGAACAACGTGCTGTACTATTATTGATGATACATAGGAAGGTTCAGATTCTGTTTCAGCAGCTACTTCACATTTGTCAAACTGAATTTTGTTCAAATATAATTTTTCTATAATCCATTTTAAGAGTTGAAAAAGGGGAAACCCACAATGTGGTAAATTAAATCTGTGGGTGTATTGTTGATAGTATAATCCCAGGAATTGTGAGGTGGAAGAAAAGATTGTTCCCAAATTGTCTTGCTTGGAAAAGACAGGGACAAAGAACATCTCCTTGTCTGAAGAAAAAACTAGAATGTTTGCACAATGCAACTTGAATTTAATATCAAATAATTAGTCTGTAACCTATAAACTTAGCTCCAAGCTAAAAATGACCTTTTTGACATATTAGCTACAAAAGTTTAAAGCAACTCATTTAATGGGGATCCATAAATTAAATGTCCAGTGACTGAGAGAAATAATGGCTTGTATCTTATTTTAAGTTAAAGAAATTTGGGGAAGAAAATATTGGGTAGTAAATACATCTGAAATATTTAATATTAAGGCTTTCCAGACAACATATCATTGAAGCATCAACAAATGAAGCAAGGAAGTATGCATGTTTTACTAGATTTGGCTTGAATATTAAAATTTACATGAGGGAATTAAGGGAAGGAAAGTTTTCGAACCACAGCCACCTGTAACTCTCAAAGACTTTATTCGGGGAACTAGATGTTATTGGTAGAGGTGGTGGTGGAATGGGAAGTCCATTTTGAGGCATTTTTCCTCATTCACTGTCACACTATTTAGGCTGAGATTTTGTAGGAGATGATCTCAAGTGCTGCAAATGACTTAAAGAGAAGGTGGCATCCTATTCTCCTTATAGGCTGTGTTCTCTTAAGCATTATCACCCTCATTAGACTTCTTTAATTACATATTTATAATGATGATATATAGCTTTTCCCTCATACATAGCAAGTATATAAACTAGGCAGAGGGCAGGTATTGGATGACTCTGGAGACCAGGGTTCAAATACCTGCTTGGCAATGAAAACCCAACGGTGATGTCAAACACACTCAGCCTTAGAGAACCTTGTGGCAGGTTCACCTTAGAATTGCCGTAAATTAGAAACAACTTGAAGACACACAGCAATAAGGACAACAGCAACAGCATTGTGTCCTTGCCTTATAGATATCAACCATTGCATAGGGAACTGCACTGATACATAGTGAATTTACTTCCTAAGTTAGCTCTGTTTAGGATTCCACTGTGTAAAAATTAAGGAAACAAGGCTACTAAATACATCAGACGTGAATGGGAATGAGGAGAAGAGAGATAATCACATATCAAGGCATAATACGTAATTGTGTACACCTCACAGGGAATGAAAATGGTTTGAATTGAGGGATAAAGATTCCAAAATTAAATTTGTGCTCCTTCTAACACTTACTATGGGAAATTACACATTTCCAACACAACCCAGTGCCAACTCCACAGGGATTATATTACTATTTATTGTTTTCTTTGCTCAAATAAAACACCTGTTGGGGTCATCTATTTGAAGAATTTTTAATATAGCAGCTCACACTAAAGGCGAGTGAAGAATGTTTATTCTGGTTAGATTGCCAGCCTTTCCTTTCCTTCCACCCCCGAGGTTGGTGCATAATGATTTAATAACGGAAACAGCATGCCTGCAAACCTCTGCACCCCACATTTAAATAAAAACCTAATATATTTGAGATCTGGGTGTCAGTCTGTACTGTTACTTGAAGGTTTCTGGGTTATGAATAGAGCGGTATCCCTAGGATACAGCATCCTTCTTTTATCAACTCCTGTCTTAAAGTGTCAGAAGTCAAAGAATTAAAAACAAAAGCAGCATAAATTGCTGTCAATCATTAAGCCCTTTCATCTGCTCTAGACTTCAAAAGGCATTCTGCTTCCTAAATGGAAGGATCAATCACCCCACATTACATCTGCTGTTAGGAACAATACTGCCACACTGTCAGCTCTAGGGATGGCTAGCTCAGACACATGTAATTTAACACTCAAGACAAACCAAACAAACATATGCAAGCAGTAAACCTGTTGCATGTGCCGCACTGTTCCCACACACTGTTCCTTCTCTTTATTTTTCTAGATATGCAGTCTTTTCTAAGATAATAAAATACAGCCCCACCCTTACACCAGATCTCTATAATATGTGAACATTCAATTATATATATGAATATGTTCAGTTCCCGTGTACACTGCCTAAATGGTAAAGATAACATTTAACTGCCGTTACTTTTTTCTCAGAGATTTGATTTTTCAAAGTAAAAAATTGAAAGTTTCTCTTCCATTCTATTTATGAAGAAAATTGCCAAATTTACATCTCCTTCCAAAGAGTATGCAACATTCTCAATCTGCTGCACTGGTCAGATTCAACAGGTCTAGCAATTCCTAGCTGTTCAAATGAGGAGCCTGTCAACAAGAGTGAGTGGACCACCTGATTCAATAACCCAAATTTGGTTGAATTCAGGGAGAGTCACATTTGAGCAATATTATTCCAAAACAGATCTTAAAAAATTTAAGAGCCAATTTTAAAAAGTAACATTTTGAAAAAGCGCATACAATGAATCCAGCTGAAGCAAATTCTCACCCGTCGTTAGTATGCAATAATTTTTGTTTCAGTCATTGTGGCTATTTTTTGGATAAATATATTTATGGGAATAAAGTAAACTAATAGTCTGTCCAGTCTCTAAGATGGAGCACTGGTTTCAAGAGCTTTCAAAGAAGTCTAATATATTCTGTTAAAAGCCCATAAAAAATAGAAGTTTTGAAAGAAGAAGCTAAATGTCAGTTCTCCTTTATAAAAAAGAGAACCTTGCAACATTTCCAAAAAGTTGCAGGGGAGGGGGGAGTTGTGAGGGGGTTTCAGAGGGGTCACCAAAGACCATCAGAAAACATATATTTCTGATTGTCTTAGGAACCTCTTTGGCAGGGAAGGCTGAAGGTATCTCCGCCTGTCCTTCTCTTCCTTTTTGGAAACAGCAAATCCTCCCAGCAAAAGCTCTCCTCCTGCTGTGATTGGCTATCATGTATTTGTGCCAAATTAGACCTAGTGAATGAAAATACACCCTGCATATCAGATATTTACATTATGATGCATAACAGTAGCAAAATTACAGTTATGAAGTAGGAATGAAAATAATTTTATGGTTGGGGATCACCTCAACATTAGGAGCTGATGGACTCCAGGCCAGGAAAGCCCTCTGACTTTAAACACCACACAGCTGAATAGAAATGCAAGCAGTTTATTGAAGATATTTTAAAAACAGTAGCAGTAAACAAAAACTCCATACAAATAGGTAAATCCAATTAGGTAGAAAGATAAGCAGGATCAAATCGTCCAGGAAATTAGTCCATCAAAGTTCATGAAAAACAAAGGCAGAAAGTTGTAACGTAAAATTCCAAAGCTTGAATCATGGATCAAAAGGCACTTAACACATGAATCTATCCTAAGCAAGGCTTCCAATGTCCAGGAAGGATGTCTTGACTCAATTCCAAACAATGCTTCGTCTGAACTACAGATTCTGTACTTGGCTCTTTTATCCCCTAATCGGCTCATTGTCTCAAGTGGCAAGGAATGGATTTCGTTGCAGCCTTGACTCTATTATCATCCTTTCTCTCAGCATGGCAGAACACCTGAGAGTTTGGGTTGTTTGTCTGTACTGATTTAATACATGCCTTCTATCTACTGGCTCATTAATTTCTGCAGCTGGCCCAGGAGCCGAGCTATTCTCAGGCTGAAAGTCATGGGAATTCTCTGGTAGCAATTCAGACCCTTTTCCAAGGATCATACCATCATCCCCAAACCCTTCAGGACCATTCTCATCAGAAAAGACACTTTGAACAGGAATCCCATTGTCATTCTCTGCATCAATAGCAACCTCATCAATAGGCACTATGGCCCTAATGTACATAACCCCATTCCTTCACAGACATAGGATGCTGAACCTCTTGAAGCCAAAGTGCTCAATAAATAATTCAAAGCTAGTATAGATGACTGGGGTGATTTGCTCATACTGACAAGTTCCAATCAAAATCCTTATTCTAAACATTTGATTCTTGCCAGAGGATTTGCAAGGCAGTCCCGCATATATTAGCTTCTATTTGAAGCAAGGAGAAAGCCCATATTTAATGAGAAACCATTAAACCACTGATATTCAGTGGAAAGATCTACTGGGGGATATTGAGGGGGCTTTAAAATATATTTGATAAGCATCCTTGGGCACAACATTAAAATAAACTAATTGTTATCATGATGATAACCACACATTGCTACTTCTGATTTTAAGTAATCATAAAATACCAGTAATTCAATAAAGATGCTAGCTCTAATGGTACTAAAGTTTACTGGCAAATACAATATGTAAAATAAAATAAATAAAGATAGAAAAGCAAAACTAGTGGGTAAATTAAATGTTTCTCTTACTGAAAACATTTTGGTCATGCTTCAGATATAATATTCAAATAACATAAATGAATATATACTGTAAAGCTCATAACTGTTCCTCTCCATGGAAATCTTTAGTAAAAGGCAAAAGATTTATATGATCTGAAGAAAAACCAGAATATGGGAGAATTTATAATAACTGTTGGTTTTACTGATGGAGTTATGGACCGTAATAAAAAAATGTTGTTGTACTGTGAAGCTGAAAAGGAAGTAGAAAGGGGCAAAAAATGTTCAAGAAGACAAAGCAATTCCATTACAAAAAGGTTATAATGGCTTGAGATTTTCTTTCTTAGAGAGCAGTTAGGTAATGTGTGAAAAAGTTATGCATACCATGCATGGTGTGGGTAAAAACACTCTCACTCATAAGAACTCCAGTTTCATCTAGTGAAGAAGAATCATAGAAGATTTTGGATAGAGAAAAGTACTTTTCAAACAGCTTCAGGTTGAAATATGGATTTTCCTACCACAAGATGTAATGATGGCCACCAGCTGAGGAAGCTTGGATCAGAAATGGGATCCAAATTGACCAGGTTATTAGACAGATAAGTAAAAAATGATTGCTAAGCAAGATGGCTTGTGGCTTTATAATGCTTCCAGGATTAGAAATTGCATATTTGAATCCCAGTTGTTATGGGGCACTATTTCACTCAAGTCCATAGGCTTCCCATATGCAACAGACTGAGAATGGAGAGAACTGAATACTGAGCTATGGAAGCCTTTGATTTTATTCACATAAATCTTCTGATATTCCTATGACAGAAAATTATATAGAAGGCCTTAGCTCACAGAATAATTTCCTTCTAATTTATATCAATTCCTTCTATATTTAGCACATACATTAAACAGGAATAAACAAGCATGACTACCTCCGAAGTGTTTCAAAATAAGATGGAGGATGCAACTAGATGTGGCATTATCAATATCATATGCCATGCTGAATACTTCAGCAGATGTGGATATTATTTTATGTATTTATTTCACATTAGCACATCTGCCCATTATTTTGGGAAGACTCAACATCTCTGAAAGTATGGAAAATCTAAAGAATTACCAGAAACAATCTCCCCCAAATACAGTCATTTTTATTATTCTACGTAGTTCAGGGAAGTAATTAATTTAATTTTAAAACTTTTTACAAAACTGGATTTTAGAAATTAGTAGTCAACTTTTCAATCCAAGTAGACTTTTTAAAAGGTATTATTAGTTCATTTTCCTCCCGACACTAGGTAAGGATTGGCAAGTATTTAAGGATACAGCTCAGGGAAAAACTATTGACAACCACCTGCTCAATGAAGTCAATAGAGAGTCTTGCAGTTTCCAGATGTTAATGTCAGAATTTGATTCATCTGCTTTTCATGTCTCGTACATGTAGCAGATGTATGTTCAAAAATGATATTAGCATTAATTCAACCAGCTACATGTGCTCGATACTGCTGCATCTTCTCTTCCCTTTCATAATTTATCCATATCTGGAATGGAAAATTTCCAAAATTATTAAGATTTTTTGAAATATGAACTTCTGATCTCTTTTTTCTCTTTGTGTGCTATTTTTGAATATCAATACTCCAACACACACACTTTTTCTCTCCATTCACCAACTCTGATTCAGAGTGTAAGGTACTCAGTGTTTAGAAAGGCCATAATTGAGTGGAGAGAGCCAAACATGTCAGAGGTTGCACACAGTGAACACAGACAGTTACCTAAGAGAAGAGGGACATGGATCTCTTCACACGGCCCTTTTGGGCCGTGCCATTGTGCCAGCAATCACCAGTGAAAGTGAAGATGTGTGGGGTGGCTTGTGCCACCCTGCACTCCCTCCCTCCTTCCTTTGGCACCCTTTTCCTCCTTTCATCAGATGGCAGAAAGCGTGGCAAAAAGGGAGGCAAGTGCAGGTAGCTCTGTTGGAGCTATCCAAACTAGACTTTCCACCCTGCAGTGGAGGAGAAAGTGCCTTTTTGGTGCTGCTCCACTTTGTGAGAAATGTGGGTGGGGCCTGCTGTGCATCATGTGATGGCGCATGGCAGGCCCCATCCTTGCTGCATTTAAAAGTTTCAAAACAGGTCAAAAATACCCCATGTGAAGCGGTCCCATATCACACATGCAAAAATGTTGTATACATAGCCAAGTATGGGCTTAAGGCAATGATATATTTTAGGCAACAATATATTGTTTGAGTATGCTATGCTTTGTTTCTGAGCATAAGCTGACTTGAGTGATTTATTTCTGAATGACTAGAGTGATTTATTTCTGAAAGGGGATGTTAAAAAATGGGTGGGGGATGAGCAGTAAATGAACACAGTCTGATTAAGACTTCACCCACAAAGAAGGAAAGAGTGTACCGCCTGTCCCTCATATGCCCTTGGACACATTGTGGGCAAAATGGATGATCAAGACAAAGCCCATGTGCTCAGGGAGTTTCAGGTTATCTAATTTATCTTTGTGTTACATTGGCAGAATTGTGAGGTAAAGCTGTAAATGGTTGTGTTCAAGTTTTCCCACTAGGATGCCTTTTGTGACATTTCCTTAACCTGCCTTCCACTGTCAAAATGATTACATCAACAAACAAGGAAGTGGGATACATTAGGCCCCCTAAGTACAGCTGTTCAAGCTTCCCAAACTTGATTATGTGTCACCGTTGATTGATGTCACTTCAGTACCTTACAAGGTTCCTTGGGGTACAGAGGATTTTTTTAAAGTATGACAACGCGAGCATATATGAATCACTTATTTCAAACAGAATCAATTATCCTTGTAGCTTGTCTCACCGAAGAATGAGAGGATCTGTAGTCCATAATTGTACATCTTGGGAATTGAGTGCTTTCTCAAAGTTTAAATTTCTCCAAATTTTAAATCATTCATTTCCAGTCAGTTCCATCTGTGCGAGAGATTTTGTTGCAGCCTGTAAATGCTACTCCCAATATAAAGTAACAGAATTTATAGAGCTAATGTCATCGATTGGGTGGCCAGGTTTGTACACTACAAGTGCCTACCAAGAAAATCAAAACTATTCGGTTCTGTGTCCTCAGCTTGCCAAAAAAAGAAGTAGCGGTAGTTTGCACTGCTAGAATTGTCTCCGCCATTGTGGTGGCTTTTGCCATGTTACCCAAGGGTCAAAATAATGCTGACAGTTCTGAAGGGCTTCTAATGAGTTTCCCCAGAATTACTGCCAGCAATTTGATGATTTTCCTTCCTAACTCATGATTTACTTCATTTTCATTTCTTTTCTTTTTTAAACATTATATGAGGAAGAATGACATCCTGCGGCTTGATTTGAAACCAGCTTGGCAATTATGAGCTTTCTATGCAAGTGTGTGAATATCTCCATGTTTTCATTAGGTTTTCAAGAGTAATTCCTTGGTTTGTAATATGTTAACTGTCCAACTTTGCTGATGCCATGCTTTTATTATATTTCCCTTTGTGAAATGCAGTTCTTCAATACCAGCAATGACTCAGAATGACTCTTAGAAATTTAGCTTAAATCAGAGAATATATCAAGCTGCTGAAGGTTTTTTGGGATGCGTTGGTGTGTGTGTGTGTGTGTGGTGGTGGTGGGAGAGATTGGTGGTTATGTCTTCACATGACTACCAAATTGTTATACATAGATGTGTCTCAATTTGAACTAATTTAAGCTTCCATTGTGGTAATTATAAATTTTGGAAATGTCTGAAATTATAAAAGTGAGACAATAACTGTCACTTGGCACTTGACAGAATTGCTAGCTGTATTATTTGTCAGTGTGACTGTATTTGCCCCCATAGGGGCTGTGTTGCAATTGACCACCAAAAAAGTCCTAGCTGTTCTCCATAAAAGAAATGTCAATTTCTTTCTTCATCATCTGCATCAAAACACTGGTAAAACATCATCTTGGGAATCCTCTTCTTCCCATGTGCATATTCAGGCAACATTGTCATCATTTTCCATGATTCAGCACAACATTAAACCTCATCTCTGTAGCTGTCCTGTGTGATGATATTAAGTTCACAGTCATTCAGATTAAATCAGAGTTATCTTCTGTTAAAAGAAGTCCATAATCTATTCTTATCATACATGGGCCTCTCTTCCTGTCAGTCATGTTTAAGGTTTTAGGCATGTTCTTAAATGTACTAGGACAATAAAAACTGTAAAAGGCATTACTGCATATCAAGGGATTTGTATTGTCCATCTCAGAAAGCCAACACAACATGAAATGGCTACTGAGAATCTTTTCTTTCTCCCAAAGCACCATGCATTCTTAGTTTCAAGCAAGCAATTTTTCACTTGCTTGAGTAAAAGGGGCAGACTATACAATACTGTTCCAGAAGAATAAAAAAATGTGCCCGAAGGAAAAGATATACATTTAAACTCCAAAAAGAATCCAAATTTATCATTCTATGAGTCAAACTACTAGGCATGTGTGATCCATTAAAATAGTTCAAAAGTACTTACAAAACTGGGGGGCACTGGTGCTTCATTTCTAAAGTATTTCAAAAGTATACTTAGTGGAAAACCCATTATTATAAAGAGACTAATAAAATATTGTTACTATTTCATTATAGTAATTGCGCATGTACATAAGTAAATTACTATAATTGGGGAAACTTCAGGGGCTCCTATATCTCTCATTTTTAAAGCTTTGGAGTGAACCTTGCTAAACCGGTGGAAAACATTAACTCCTGTTAGCCTATAAAATCTCATAAGGTTTCATTAATCCACTGATTTTTGGGGAATTTTCAAAGTTTTAATAAACAACATTTTTTTAAAAAAAACTACAAGAGCTAGCTCCTTGAATTTTCTATTCAATGACACAAGATAACAGGAGATTCCCACAACTTTCAGAAATACTCATACTTCTACTGATTTTAGGGTTTTTTAAAAAAAAGTTTTGATTAAAACTGACTGTTTAGGAAAAGACAAATATCTCTCCTATCCTTTGAATTCTTTGGCATGGGCTACTCCCCTTTCCTAACTATATTTCCCAAGTTCTGTGCTGTTCCCAAAATGCAAAGCTCCCTGTCTTAACACCGAGAAGCCATTAAGTCAAGTCTTCATGATGAGAAGCCATTAATTTACAGGGAGATGAATGGTAAAGGAGGCAGGTAGCTTTTGTTATGCATCCTTAAAAAGCTTAGCTTGCTTTCGTGCC